TTTAGCTATTCAGAACGAGATTTCAATATATTCTACAACAAGGAAGAGATTCGATATTCTACATTAGTAAAATCCAACTAGTAGTCTATTATCAATGCTGCGTTCCGATTGGTTGAGCTACTACTAGGCTATATGTTATAGCCCACTAGTAGCGATAAGCGCCGGCTTTTTGGCGGCATAAAAGGATTAAGGTCTAGCTTTAACAAGCTAAAGTTGTTTTGTCTCGATATTTTTGACCAACTAGTTGCATTTTACTAAAACAATTATTCCTCTCGCTCTCATGGCCTCTGAGTCGATAGCCCAATCCCATTCATTCTCATGGGCTATTGACCCAGAGCCCATTAGGGCTCGAGGAATAATTGTTAAATATGCATCGAGGATTTGACATAGAAACCTTAAAAGGCTTGATTGAAAAAAAAAGAAGAAGAAGAGGAAAAAGAAAGAAAGGAGACGAAAAAAAATTGAAAGATAATTTTGGGATTTAATAACTACGATACATGTAGCTCTTAGTTGGTCAAAAAGTTTGAGTGGCGCCCAGTTCGTCTCTCATGGGGGTAAAATCCCTGTTTTGTACAAGAGACCTGCTTTCCTCATATAGGAGTCAACCACCCACCCTTTCCCCCTCCCATTTTGCATTTCCTCTATGCTAGTCTGTTGCCCTGTTCCAAGCTCTCAGTTAGACGCGAAGAGCCAAAAGAAAACAAAAAAAGGGTAAAAACTATTTTTATTCTGCTCGCTTTTCATTCTCTTGCCAAAAAGAACGAAAAGGAGCCAAATTTCACGAAAGCCTTTTGAGGTTTACCAAACTAATCTCCATCCCTAACACTAATTTGAGCTTGGAAATTAAAACTTGGTTGTTATAAATACGTGTATGGCTATCAAAACTCGGTTTTATGAACACACCACCTGTCGGAGAGAAATGTCTCTCCAAAAACAAAAATCACCCATTTTATCGCTGACTTTAAGCATTGGAAGGGAGCGCCGCCCCTACACTGAATTCCAAACTGAATCGCCCGAGGGTTTAGTTTTAAGAAGCCCTTTGTGTGCAAAAATTAAAGCAGCAATGCTTTTTCGCATATCTTCCGCATTGTTGTTTATACACCTTCTAGGGTACTTATGGGAAGATACGTGGTGATTATCCTCTTCCTCTTTATCACTGTTAACTGCCTCACCTTTTTCACAGGTAAACCCGTCTCCCAAATAACCTGGTTTGCAACGGCATGTATACGAGCCCTCGGTGTTCGTGCAGTTAGCGTGAGAGTGACATTTATCCAAGCTTTTCTCACATTCGTCCACATCTAAGTAAGACAAAGTAAAGGCTAGTGTTTTCAGTCATTCTTAACAAGTATGACCTACAATCAACTCTACCATGAATTAAGGTTCTGCTGTTAGGCTAAATCCCTTTCTAAAACGACCAAATGCGTTGGGCTGGTCGTGGTCTATTTTTACTCAAATACACAATAACGTATAATGTTCTAAGCAAATTCTCTTTCGGCTGGTTGATCCTATAATGCAGCTGTTCTCGACGGTTTTGACCAACTTAAAGAGAACTCACTTGTATACAGATACTGATTCCTATTTAGATACAAATGGTTGGAGTAAAGATACGTTACTCTCAGTTTAAACTATCATATCCATTATCGTTTTTTCTTTCCTTTTGCAGTTGAGGGCTTTTCAATTGATTACCGTCGTGCAATTGGCTTTAAAGATCCTGTCTTTCAGTAAATACAGTACGTGTCACGTGGTAAAATCAAAAGGAATTTCTTCAGACCTCACTCAATGTTGCATTTATAAATGAATCGATAGAAAAGTTCAATATCCACTAAAATTACCTAAAGGTAATGTCATAATCTTTCAGATTTAAATCAGCCTTGGATGAAAAATTCTTGCCGTTTCAACATGAGGATTGAAAAATGTCAGTTGATTGTTCGAACACAGAATCAAAACAGCTTATGTTTGCACTTGGTATCATGTCTTGATAGACCAACCTCCACAAGATGGTGTTTTATCACTCCACTCTCCTTCACTACATGTTATCTCTGAGGCTCCTATCAGAACATACGAAGGACTGTCACAACTAAATGTTACAACGCTACCATAGCCAAAGTCAGTCCCCAGCCGCAAGCCATTTTGTGGCTGTCCAGGATCCTTACAGTTTCCTGTAAAAAAATTTTGGAACTCATTTTAGCTCAGTAGAAATGAAATCAGATAGAAAGAAGAAGAAAAACGCGTTCACTCTTCAAAATTTGGCTTTCTTTTTTAAAATGGTTTCCTTAAAGTTTGAGTCACGTCTATTCTTAGGGGTATGATTTCACGTTTCGACAGGCGTCCCCGCCTTCTTCATATAAGACTAAACCCTACTCCCCCTACCCCTACCAACGACTTTGGCCTGTTGCCCTTTTCCAGACGCGACTGAGATCGAAAGGATGAATAAAAAATGAACGTGTAAAAGCTATTTTAACGCTGGTTATTCTTCCTTATGCAGAGGTGGACAATTCAACTAACCTCTGCTAATAGTGATTGTTTTAACCTTTTTATATTCTTTCAAGATAAACACAGACTGTGTTTTCTCTCCTTCTTGTCGCACGACTACCTGAAAACATCAACAGGTCAATTGTTGTTTTACTTGGCAGAAATCATATCTTTTACATCACTCCTTTTAAATCCAAACAACTTCATACAACATGCAACTTTGGGGTCAATCTATTAGTCCGGGAGTTAGAGCCGTTTTGCTTAACCTAGTGAACAGAAACGGTTTGACGATGTTTGATCATTCAAAGCACCCTCTTTTTGGCTAGGTAGTTTCATTTTGAGTTATAGCTATGTATTTAAAAGTCGACAACAGTGAAAATAAATATAACAGGAAAGCGAGGCTGTGAGTTGAAACTTAAATTCTACGAAACGCACGCCACAAGAAAACCAACATACTCATATATCTCCTTAGACTTCTCCAAGATACTGTTTAACAAAAGCAAAGCGTTTTAATAGGGAGCGATATGATAAATACCGTCCTCTTCTGAGGTGTTTCTATATGATTTTGCTCTCGATAACTCGAACTCCCGATGACTCGAAATTTTTTCTGTTTCCCTTGAAGGTGCGAATTATGGGAGTCGACTACATTTCTTTCAAATTGTTCCATTTTTTAAAGAAAAATTCCAGAGCTAAGCTGATACAAGCAGGCTGATCGGTTACCAGGCAAAAAACTTCATTCATCGCTATATAACTCCAGTCAAATCCCGGTAATTCGAACCTTCAAGGGAAATAGAAAAAAGTTCGAGTTATCGGGAGTTCGAGTTATCGAGGGTAAAATTATACACAAAATGATATGAAGGGAAATGAAAATTGCTTCGAGTTTGCGGGAGGTTCGAGTTATAGAGGGTTCGAGTTACTGGGAGTCGACTTTACTGTATAAGCATTACACCAGACTGGTCAAGAATTGCATCCTTTAACACTAACCTTTTCTATGTAAATCTCCTTCACTTCACTTTGAAAAAGTTGTACCTTTGTTAAAACTCCAACTGAAGATTCCGAAAAGCTACAATAACATTTAAAATGAGCATAACATACTTTGTTAATCTTTTGTAATTCTGGTTGCTGTTGTAGTTAGCTTGTTTGTTTGTTTGTTTTTCTCAAACAGTCGTAAGACCTTTTTCCAAGCAGTCTTTAATTGGACCACTGCACTTCGCGTCAACAAAAGTTGTCGACCCCATTTATTAAGGCTGGAGGCTAAAGTTTCAGAAGTTTATTAGTTTATTATTTGCACTTCACGCTTCATACCCTGCGATAAGAGGCCCTTTGATCGTCCTAGATAAGAAGGGAAGAGTCTAAGTCCCTCCCTCTACCCGACAGTCAGTTTTTTGGTCTTTCTAGATAGAGGGGCTGGGCCCGGTTGCTCGAAAGATAGTAAAGTTAAACCCAGGATTAAGCCAAATTTGAAGCAAGGTTTTCGTGTCTAAGAACGCGCGAGTCGAGATTACAAAATACTGTTGAGCTTTTACTCCGAGTTACGGTAAGTAACTGCAAGTAGAAAGAAATATCCTTACCTTGCATTCACTGTAAAACGTAGTCTATCGAGTGTTAGTTTGTGTGCGTACGTTTTTCCATTATTGCCAAACAACTGAATCCAGTATTCGTTTTTTTCAAGCCAGCCGGTTATTTGGACAATGTAATCTGCATAGCAACAATCAATACAAGAAAAATTAAACATGATAAAAACTTGAGGGTGAGCAATTTACTACTGATGTCTGCAAATGCTATACCGATAGGATGATCACTGCCTGTCTCTAGTATTTTATCAATAACTAATAATATCAAGAATACAAACTGAATCAGAAACTCATAGGGGGTTGAAAAAATTATTGGCTTCACACTGGAGCTCTCAAGTATAATCTAAGTGTTTTTGGAACCTACTTGAGTGTGAAGGGGTAAAATGTACCCACTTCAACTTTACTTGGTGACCGCGGAAAAGTTCGTAATTCAAAGAATCCAAAGTTCTTCGCCAAGTATGGTCTACACCACACTTGAGAACACGCTTGGCCAATAAGAATGGAAGCCATGTGCACGATGTGTACGTGAAGCGATTCCAAGATTCTAATGAACAGACGGATATAAAACATTCAACATGTCTTGGTTAGGTAAGAGCATAGAGTACTAAAGAGTGACGTCATAAAAATGAAATTTCTGAAATTATGGGATTTGTTAGGATGTTCTGAAAGAACAATGTCCAAGAGGCCTACTTGCCAAAAATGAGCATTTCGGGGCAAATGGTCTCTGAGATCGTAGCCCAGTTATGCTTAGAAAACTCCATACAAACCTTCCAAATTCTTTTGGGCCGACCCCCAAAAAATTAGAAGGGTTTGTATGGAGTTTTCTGAGTATAACCGGCTAACATCTCAGAGACAATTTGCCCCGAAAAGCTCATTTTTGGCAAGTAGGCCTCTTGGACATTGTTCTTTCAGAATATCCTGACAAATCTCATAATTTCAGAAATTTCATTTTAT